AACACACCGGATACTTTTTCAATCAATAGAGGATGGGACACATTATACTGTGCTCGACTCTTAGGATTTGAATGAGTACTGGATAGGAAAGGAAGAAACACGCGCAATCCATGACCCGATGTTTGAAGTAGAGCTCTGGAATTCGTCTACAACTAATGAGAGGAAACACTGGCAACTTATCAGAGCAGTCAGCCTAAAGAATGCTCTTCCGGGCTCGATCCAGCAAATACTCCTGTTTCGAAATATCTACCAACGCCGGAACTCGAACCTTGGACAAACTGCTCTAACGCAGTTTCAATTCCAGACTCGCGATTACATTTGCAACTGCAGCACTGCTAACACTGCAACTTGCAGTGTTACTATCGACGTTTACTTGTACCGATTTTTAATAAATTCGACATTATTAGGGTTGAAATTGTAGGTTATATTAATAATATTTTACAAGAAAGAGTTTACATGTTGTACCAAGCGTCACTTCCAATTCGAGGTAAATAGGACATATTGCCTAAATGTTAACTGAACAAAGTACGTGTAGGTTTACTGGTACTATGAGCAGTATGTAGGAATAATGCACGTAATGTTTTGTATTCACATTGTTTTTCTTTTCAGAAAATATCCTCAAAAGTCTCCCTCCAAGCAGATACCCTAAACCACAATGCGAATGTACCGAACTGTTTATTTGCCTATCTTTATGCATCTGTTAAACACGATGGAAATAAACGAAATCCGATAGCGTGATTCACGAGACAGAAAAAATTTAAACAAACGATTTTCAACGACCAACTCTAGCATGGAAGGGAGGTGCAGAGGCCGACTGAAGATCGTGTTTTATAGATTTCAATTTTTTTAGGAAGTTTAACATCATTAATATTGCTTATAATGTGCTTTTAGTTCAATATATGATTCTATATATCAAGTATTTACCAATATTCGAGTTATTACAGCACCTTTGGCTCTGAATAAAAAATCAAGATTATTCACTAGTAAATTAAGCTCAGAATACATTTTGTAATTATTTGAAATAATATATAGTTTAACACATTTCTATGTTATGAACATGCTTAGGCAATTATTTGGCATAAAATATTGATTTGTCCTGAAATGCGAATGTTTATTCGAGAAAGTCGGAATTTCTTTCATTTGCAGAAACATAAATTTAATATTTTTTGTTTAGATGACTGCATCTGTGTACTAATAGTTATAAACATTTAAATAATTTATGAAAATAGCCAAAAGTCAATACAATCTATCTTTACATAGCGTCGGACACCCTACCTGGATTACGCACGGGACTTCTATATTTTGGCATTGCTACGGTAAAATATTTCGAAAAAAAATAAAAAAAACAATTATATGGGAAATATATGAATAAAAAATAGAATAACCGTTTGTTCTAAATTTTATTTTATTTTACGCCCACGCAACAACGGTATATCTGCTTGTGTGATAAA